TATCTACGAATTGGATACCCGATTAGGTGTGTGTGTGATGTGTTGCGTATGTGCATGTGCTATGTATCACCATGGAAACCTGTACCTTTGTACAATCTGTTTATAGCCCATATCACTGCCAAAGATCAATATAGTACCCGATTAAGTATGTGTGTGATGTGTTGTGTTTGTGCATGTGCTATGTATCACCATGGAAACCTGTACCTGTGTACAATCTGTTTATAGCCCCCCATATCACTGCCAAAGATCATATAGTACCCGATTAAGTGTGTGTGTGATGTGCTATGTATCACCATGGAAACCTGTACCTTTGTACAATCTGTTTATAGCCCATATCACTGCCAAAGATCAATATAGTACCCGATTAGGTGTGTGTGTGATGTGTTGTGTTTGTGCATGAGCTATGCATCACCATGGAAACCTGTACCTTTGTACAATCTATCAATTGCCCATATCAATTCTAAAGATCAATATATGTATCAACCGGACACGTATCTGTATAGAATTGTTTAGAAGCGGGTGTTTTACAACCATCATGATAGTGTATTCCAAACTACTATCGATTGATAGACGCAATCAAAGCCTACGTAAGGGTGTATGTCTGTGTCAATGGTGTGTGTGTTAGACTATATATGCAGTTGTGCACGACAATAGGTGTGCATGTCTGTGTTTGTAATGTGGGTGTTTGCATCTACACACCCCTTGTGCACATGTGCGGAACAGCAACAACTGTCTTCGTAAGACCATCTGGGTTGTACAGATAACTCACCAGGTCCGGGCGTAGTGCGGATTGACAGATTGAGAGCTCTTTTAGGGTTTAGGGTTTAGAATCTATGGGTGGTGGTGCATTTGTACGAGGGTGTACACATGCGTGTATGCAATTTGAAGTCAAATGGGTGGTGCTTGGGACAGATACTCTGAGCCCAATACACGTCACAACCCGAATTATCGGATGTACCCTACCCGATAATATGGGATTCAATTACAATATTGGGGTACTAGATTGGCCCAAAATCGAGCATTACGATATGAGGGTACTAGATTGACTTGCAGTGTGAGGTTTAATTGCCAATTTTTCCCAAATATGCATGAAGATCCTAAACTCTGGAACCTTTCTTCATCGCCACAAAACGTAAATGACAAAGAAAATATAGTTCAAATTTGGAGTACCGGAATGAGGAGGTAGAGTACTTAAAAACGAGATTCGAAATGAGCCATCGGAAGTATAAACCCATTCCATATTTCTATGTGATAGAATCGAAGTTTTAAGATATTCGGAATGGATCAGAAATATGAACCCATTCTATATATATCTATGTGATAGAACCGGAGTTGTGAGGGAAAAACGTTACAGGTTGTTTCGGTATCGGTAGAGGGTCCACAGACATGTACAGTTGTGCTTTATCGCGGTATTTACTGCTACTTAGCAAATACGATTGCAGGTCCACTGAAACGAGCATACCACCAGCACAAACACATGCATATATACAAGCAAGCACCCACACTTCGACAGAGATACATATACATATACATACACATACACATACACATGCAGGTACACATACACATATGATATACATACAAGTACACATAAAGATACACAGACACAACCACACACAGACATGCATTCAAACACACACATATGCGTAAACAAACCCACACAAACATGCATACAAATATACACACACATCCCCACACAAAAAACGCACAAATACACTCATACATGCTTATATACGCACACAAACCAGCACGTACGTATCCGAATTTATTTGCGCATATATAGTTTTGTAAATATACAAATGTATGTGTATGTGTTTTAGTATAGGGATGAGGATGAGTACGCGTAGTTGGGCATAGATCTGATTTTACGTTTATTAATTATGTAGCAGAGTGTCTGACATCCATACGCAATGCCTCACCACACCTGCAGATATGCTTTCAGCCAGGATGGAAGAGATGAATGCCATCAGCGAAAATGTACCCATGGAGGACGCGCCTACTCAAGGCGAAGGTGTGGTGCTCTTCTTGTGTTATA